CAAGAATCATTAGAGTTACCCATTGCATTGAGAAAGCCCAGACGAGAGATTCAACAACCTGTTCGATTGACGGATATGGTGGCTTATGCACTTCCAATTGTTGATGATGACATACCTTTCACTTTTCAAGATGCAATTCGGAGTTTAGAAAATAAGAAGTGGAAAAGGGCTATGGAGGAAAAAATGTTGTCTCTCCAGAAGAATCAGACTTGAAAGGTGACGCAACTACTAAAAGGCAAGAGGGCGATAGGATGCAAGTGGGTATTTGCAAAGAAAGATGTATTTCCTCATAAGAATGATGTGCGCTACAAGGCAAGATTGGTGGCTAAAGGCTACGCTCAGAAGGAATGAGTTGATTATAATGAAGTGTTTTCTCCAGTAGTTAAGCACTCTTCCATTAGAATTTTATTGGCCTTAGCAGCACAGTTGGATTTAGAGCTAGTTCAACTTGACGTGAAGACGGCGTTCTTACACGGAGATTTAGATGAGGAAATCTACATGACTCAGCCAGAAGGATTTAAAATTCTTGGAAAAGAGAATTGGGTCTGTAAGTTGAACAAATCGTTGTACGGACTGAAGCAATCTCCGAGACAGTGGTACAAACGGTTTGATAAGTTTATGATTGGGCAGAAGTACACACGAAGCAGACATGATCATTGTGTGTATCTACGCAAACTGCAAGATGGATCTTTCATTTACTTACTTTTGTATGTGGATGACATGTTGGTTGCATCAAAGAGCCAAGTGGAGATTGATCATTTGAAGGCTCAGTTGAATCAAGAGTTTGAGATGACAGACTTAGGGGAAGCTAAGAAAATTCTCGGGATGGAGATAAGTAGGGACAGAAGGAGAGACAAGCTTTGTTTGACTCAAAAGCAATATCTGAATAAGGTACTGCAGCGTTTCGACATAAAAGATGAGGAGAAACCTGTAAGTACACCACTTGCCCCTCATATTAAGTTAAGTGCCCAATTATCGTCAAATTGTGATGAAGAATGAGAAAACATGCCTAGAGTCCCATATGCAAATGTAGTTGGCAGTTTGATATATGAGATGGTGTGTACAAGGCCCGACATTTCACAAGCAATTGGTGTTGTTAGCAGGTATATGCATGACCCTGGTAAAGGTCATTGGCAAGCTGTGAAATGGATTCTATGGTACATTCATAGTACTGTAGACGTTGGATTAGTTTATGAGCAGGATGAATTTGGTCGGTGTGTGGTTGGATATTGTGATTCTGACTACGCGGACGATTTGGATAAACGAAGATCAACGACTGGATATTTGTTCACTTTTGCGAAAGCTCCAGTTAGTTGGAAGTCTACCTTACAGTCAACAGTTGCTTTGTCTACAATAGAAGCAGAGTATGTGGCGGTTACTGAAGCTGTGAAGGAGGCTATTTGGCTTCAAAGTTTGCTTGAATTTGAAGACTTGGGAGTTGGTCAAAAGCATGTCTTAGTGCATTGTGACAGTCAGACCGCTATTCACTTAGCGAAAAATCAAGTATTTCATGCAAGAACGAAACATATTGATGTTCGCTATCACTTTGTGCGGGAGATTCTAGAAGATGGAACGCTGTGTTGAAGAAGATCAAGACGACGGAGAATCCTGCAGATATGATGACCAAAGTAGTGACAGCAGTCAAGTTTGAACATTGTTTAAACTTGACCAATATTCTGCATATTTGAGTTGGCGCCGAGGGGCGCATTTGAAGGCACCGCCAGCAGTTGATTTGGATTGAAGAGTCGAAGTGGGAGCAAAATTAGTCAAGGTGGAGAATTGTTAGATTTTGATTAATTGTTTGTCCCACATCGGATGTATACCAAAGATGTGTAGGATCTTATTAGTATAAATAGGTCTCTTGCCTTTGGGTTATAATTGCACCTTATTCTATTCTCTCCTCTGTTAGAAGAAAATCCTTAATTAAAAAAATTCTAATTTGTGGGTTATTTAACCCTAGTTGTATTTTGTTGGTAAATTTAGTAAATTTGGCGTTGCGGTTGGCGGTGCCCGGAGACGTAGGCTATTTTCGCCGAACTCCGTTATCAATTTTTGTGTTCTTTTTCTTTCCCGTCTTTTATTTGGCTTATTTTCGTTTGGAGTAGTATTTGTCATATTTGTTGAAGGAATAGTTTTGTCCGCTGCGTTTTTTGTTTTATCCAACAAAAAGGACCTTTAAGTTTGTTGATTTTGTGCTTTCGTCGGAATAAGAAATAAAATTGAAGAACGAGGAGAAATTTTGAGAAATTGTGTGTGCATATTTACATATTATATGCATTCATCTCAACGATATCAAACTTGACAGAAATTAAAAACACGAAATATTGGATATCTTATGGTTATCTCGATGAACCTATCATATTTTATAAACAAAATATATATTTATTTAATTAAATGCTATAACTTTCTTCAAAGTAGCATTTTGTACTAATGCACAATCCACATCTTATATTTTTATTTATTTATTTTTGTCCCATGACTTTTTAATGAAAAATGAAATAAAATAAAAATCGTTGTAACTAATTTGACTGACTTGCTGAAATTGAATTGCGACATATCCAAATCTACACCAGGCTACAAGCCTACAACTGCACCACATAAAATATAATAATAATAATAAATAAAAATACAGTGCTACTGCCAAGTAGTGTAATATTATGGCAACGATTTTGACCGTTAGTTTGATAATTAAAGTCGCACCTTGACTTAGTATGTTACTATTGAAATTGTTTTGTTGACCTGAATAATTAACAAATTATATAGCAAGTTGTAGAAAATTCCGTCTCCCTAAATTTCGGTCTCAAACAACCAAAAACTTCGATCAAAACAAAAAATAAATTAAAAAGGGATGACACAGGACATTGATTTTTTTTATTTTTTTTTTATATTATTTTTTTTGTGAAATTGTATTAGACTTTGACCCATTATATATGCTAACTAGTTTGTTTCACTTACTTGATCATTATTTATTTATTTATTTTATCCAAAATGTTGTTTATGAAAAAACTCAATAGAGCAGCAGTGTTCATTTTGGGTACAAATGATTCAGTAAATTAACTTAGAGTTGGGCTTGGAAATAAGTTAATATTTGTATTAATTGTATTTTATTATCATTTCTTATTATAACCATTAGATTGCAAATATATCTTAAAAGTTTATAACTCTTGTATTTCTTATCGGTTTTACATATATAATATATCAAATTAATCATATTTTGATGAGCTTCGATTGACATCTATATTGTATATATAAAATAAATAAATTATATTTATCTTTATAATTATAATAATAAAATTATTGATTAAAATTAATTAGAAAATAAAATTATTTATCAATTAATATGTTTATATTTAATGTAGTTATATGTTATAAGGTAGAAAGTTTATTATTATATAACACATATAAGTTGCACAAGTAACACGTGTCATACTAAAATATACAATAATATATACACCTTCCTATTTTTATTATTTGTCACTTTGGCTTAATTGATCATTGATAAAATAAATGTTGTTTTTAGATATTTTGTTCATATTTTTTCATTTTTAACCTTTCATCTAATACACAGTGTCTTCATATCCCATCTCCATCGTTTCCCATAACATACATTAAATATGGTTAGTATTGTCAAGAAAAAAAAATCTTAATTAGTGTATTGCATTTGAATTAATATTATGAAGTCCGTTTGTATTTTACTATTTATTTTTATATATATAATACAAAACAATAATATATATCCTTATAAATAAAATTTAAATTTATTTATCAAACTAAATTAAATTATATCAAATAAAACATAAATTATATTATAAAGTAATAGAAATTAGTATGTATTCTTTTAAAAATAATATTTATTTCAAATCTAATTGGTATGTTGTCAATATAATAAAAATAAATAATTACTTATATAAATCCTAAAATTACATATAAAGTTAAAAAACTGTGAAGTACGATTGATACGACATTTGATGTATTAGACATATAACTAAATAAGAAAATTAATCTATTTTGCTTAATATTAAATAAACATATTCTATTCTACACTTATGCATATACATATCATCATATTATTTCTATTTATTTAAGATATATATTTCTGTACTTATGTAATTAAATAAAAAAATTAATCTATTTTGCTTAATATTAAATAAACATATTCTATTCTACACTTATGCATATACATATCATCATATTATTTCTATTTATTTAAGATATATATTTCTGTACTTATGTAATAGTAAATAATATCAATATTTTTATATAATATAAGTTAAAAAATTCAACACGGGTTGATATTTTCATTTACTGTACGGTGTTTAATTATTATAATTAAAAAAATATAATTTGACGATTTAATTAAAATCCAAAGTAATGTTTTATATAAAATTAAATTATTTTAGTGTTTAAAAAAATTAAAAAAATAATATTTTTTACAAAAATATTCTAGTTCAACACCGTGTAATACACGAGTATTGTACTAGTTGGCTATTATTTATTAATACAATCATCTATTCACTATAAGCTAAACCAACAAAGCTGAAACTTTTTCCTATATAATAATTATTTCAATAGTTTTTAGAGGAATGTAAATGAAAAGGAGAGAAATCATTCCTTCAANTCTCACCTTCTCATTCTTCACATTCCCTCTACTCTGCTTGCTCACAGACCCCTCTTCAGCACTGCACATTTGAGACTTCAACCGAAGCCCCAATTTTTTCGACACGTTTTCCCACGTGCTCGACACCTTTACTTTCCCGAGCTTCTCGATCTCTTGCCTCATGCTCGAACACTCTTTTTCGAGCTCGGATACCCGCAGTCTCATGTTATCCATACCCACTTTCAGGACCTGGTTTTCTCTCACGGCCGTGGCCCAATTGCCTTCATTTGGGCCCATCAGCCCACTTCTGAGCTGTCTGGACCCGTCAAGATTGTCAGAGACCAAAAAGCAGCCCGCGATTGAAGTCCTCAGCTGAAGCTGCTCGAAAAAGAGGACTTGGACTATGACTCTTAATGGGAGCCTCTCGTTTTGGGCCGCGTGCGTGCAGGCCTCGAGGGAGAGCTTCTGGCAGTCCATTAGTCGGCAGAGCTGTTCTCTGTCGGGCTCAGCTAGCCATGGGTGAGACTGTAATAACAATAATATGAGACCTCTAAATAACCAAAAACTAAAAAAGAAGCAGCTAAATTTTTGTGAAAGTTGTTAAATCCACCCTTGAAATTTGATTGTATTGTAAATCTAGCCCAAGCCATCAAATGTTTCTACAATTAGTTACATAGGTCAGCTACTCAAAATCTTATAAATGGCCTCAAATGTTTCGACAGGCGACTTGATATGCAAAAAAAAAATAAAAAAATTGAGGGATGTATAGATGAAAGGTAGGATGAAAGGACAGTGTTATTTGTAATATACTTGAAAAGAGATAGTAGAAACATTTAATGAGAAGCTAGCAGATTTTGCAAAGGTGGTGTTTTGATAAGTTTTTAATTCTTTATTTCAAGAGTCCCATAAACCTCAAGGGTAGAACAATTGGTAACTACTCAGTAACATAAAACCAAAGATCATAGAGCATTTGTAATTTTAATTATTTTGGAAAACACCACATTTTCCTCTCTTTAACTCTCTTTGCAATCAAACTGAATCTCAAGGCTATTTCTCAAAAGCTATGTTTGGTAAACCTAGCAAATAAGCTAGCTTATAGCTGATAAGTGAATTTCGAGCTTATAGTTGATATTAACTAAAACGCTAGCTTATGTGATAAAAAATATTTTGTAAAATTAGCTGAAATAAAAATTTCAAGGGGATTAGTTGAAAAGCTACCCAAGGAAACTTATGAGGTAAGCTCGAGCTTTTTAGAAAAACTCATCCTACCAAACCAAGCTTATTTGAATACAGGAAGCTTATAAGCTAATCAACTAAGCTATAAGCTTAAGCTTATATGTTTACCAAACACAGTCTAAGTAAACACTTCACAAAAAAGATCAATTCGCCAATATTTTCCACACCTTAGACAAAATCTTTACCTTCAGATAAATGTCGATTGCGCGGTAAAGACCGTCATCTAATGGCCTCGCGTACTCCGGGACAGCCGCCGCAAGCGACTGAAACTTGGGGAGTTTAAGGTTGACGTCCGGCGCCACCTCAGCAAGGTACCCATCGACCAACTTCGCCACCATTGTGATCGGAGTCAACGACGGCGAACCCATCAGTTGACCATCGTCCACCGAGCCGCCCGGAGACTCGTCCCCAACCTCTCGATCCATCCTCAAAAATTGCTCCAAAATACGCTGAACGCAATCCACATCATAAAGAGTCTCCATCGAATACGAAAAGCTCGGCATCAACAAATCCTCGAGGCTCGCCTGGTCGAGCTGCAGCCCTATCCTTTTCTCCAAGCTCGACACACAACTCGAATCAGCCTTCAGAATCTTACCCGTCTTAAGCAGACCGAATAACGTTTTTGTCGGGACGAGTCCCTTTTGCATGGGAAGAAGTTTATCGATCTCTTCTAGAAGCTCCCGTTGATCTTCTTCCGAGAGCGACACTTTCCCGCCGCCGCCAGGCTGGCGGCGGTTCAGACCCGGAAGATATTTCTTCGCGTAGAAATCAAGCGAGCCCGCGATTATCTCCTGCCTCACTCCACGAGCCTCCATGGCCGAAATCAGTCGTTTGTAAAATTTCAGGCTTAAAGTCGAGACATCATCGTACCACCAGTCGGAAGTCGGGTTCTTGGGCCGGGCCCCGGTGCTGATTCCGTTCCAGAGCACGCTTCCACCCGGGCTCTGCATAAGCCCGATTTGCTCTGTAACGGGCCAGCCGAAAAGGTTCGGGTCTGCACAGGCCCGAGCAGCTAGAGACTCGATGCACCGTTTTGGGATCTGCAGAGACTCGGCGTAGGGTAAGATATCCTCACACGTCTGTAGGGTTCGTAAAGCGTCCTTCCATCCGCGTAACACGACTTGGTTGATGAAAGTCTCGGTTTGGAAGATTAAGTTGCCTTCGCCGTATTCTTCGGTCATTTCGAGATGCTCGGCTGCGCAACGAAGGTGGGCCACGTTTGAGGCGGTGAGCTCGAGTTTGACTCCGTAGCAGAATTTTGCGACGAGCTCGAAAGTCTTGGGCCCACCAGGGATTTCGGGTAGGCTGATTACACAGCCGTGCTCGGTTTCGGTGGGGGACTCGGCTATGAGTTTCTCCATGACCCCACTTCTCGAAAGCAATGGGAACTGCAAATAATGGATTAATAATTAATTGTAAGAAATTAGAGTCGATTATCTCATGAATTGTGGACAGTGGACAGTACCTTGTGAAGATGGAAGGACATTTCGCCAACTTCGACGACTACATCGCTAGGTAAACCAGTTGTGCAAAACCTATTTGTTATAGTTAGAAGATGTAAAAGCAGGTTAATGAGTGAGGTGTGATTTGCAAGCAGAGCTGAAGCAATATAGCAAGCAGGGGAAAGTCATGTGGGTATTTGTAATTTCGAAAGATAATTCGGGTTTTTTTTTTCTGAAAATTAGGTTGAACATCAGAAATTTTGTTGCAGTAATCAACCAACACTATTATTACATATCTTGGTCTTGTCAAGCTAAACAAAAAGATTACAAAGGTTAAACAAAACATTAACAACCACAAACCAAGGGATCGTAGATTCAGATGTTTTTATGCATTCACATACAATGTAGATCTGTGTGATTAAGAATATATAACGGCCAACAATGCTAGTGCTATTTGCTAATTTTTTAAGGGGGAGAGAGAGAGAGAGAGAGAGAGAGAGAGAGAGAGAAAGAGAGAGAACGAACCAGGCCTGTCCTTGCCTCTGGAATGCATCAGATTTGGATCCCAACTTTACACAAGCCATCCCTTCAAATAACACGCAAGCCAAGCAAAGAACAATCTTCTCTAGAAAAGTTCTTTCAAGAATTTCGTCAAACACGACGAGTGCACACAAAAATTCCAAATCTCACTCTAAAAATTTCAAATCCAAAGTTTCTGAAACAAAAAAAAAACCCCAACCCTGTTCTTTGACGAAGAACCCAAAATAACTCAAATCCAGCTTCAGTTAATTCACATGCACTCCAACTCAAAGCAGCAAAATTTACAAACACACTATCGCTCAAAATTAATTTAAAAAATAAAAGAAAAGGGAAACCCAGAGAAAATTGCAGAAAATACTACTCAGGAGTCAGGTAAGGTCTCAAAATAATCTCTTTTTTCCCTCATCAAGACTGCATTTAATGCCACAAAAACTCTCAACGAAACCCCCCA